AGACACCTCACAAACGTCACGCGTATGTAATACTTCCCTAGTGTTAAACCTGACATCACTGAGGCCCCAGAAATGTTTTCCTAGAAGCGCTCCAAAGGTATCAATTTCAAACGGGTCCCCTGGTACGCATGCAATGGCTCAGTACGACCTCACTGGATTGGATACTTGAGTTTTGAATGTTCACATGCGTTTAGAAATTGCCCGCAAATGTTCAAAACGCTTTCTGCGGTTGCCTCTGAGCGCGCTACTTTGCGATATCTTGCAAAATATATTGGGCCACAAACTCCACAAGAACCCTTCCTTGAGAATCAGTAACATTCTTGATAGGAGATTTTTTGAAAAGGAAACAGCACAATGGCAATATCAGCTCTTTCCCTTGCCACTCTCACCGCTAGGAGTGGAGAGAGCTAGTAGAGGGGCTGCCAGATAGTAGCTAATAGGGGCCGGGGCTGATACGGGCCTAAGGGGTGCTCATGGGCCCAACTGTTCAGCTTGCGCCGCTTGCAAATCTTTTTTTTTTGCAAATCCTCACTTTCTGAAAGCAGACCGCGATCATTTTCCACCACAGTTAGTAAATTCGAGCTTCGGATATAGCCGGCAAGGTTCAGAGTAACCCGATAGTGAAGAAAAAAAGCAGAAAAAACATGACAAACGTGTTCAATAGAACCCCATTCCGATCTCAATTGTACGTGCCCAATTAACTCCATCTCCAACATTACGCTTTCATCCGCACAGCTGATTCCCGATAAGAACTCTACGACCGTACAAGTGACGATTTTCATGCTTTTTCGTCCTGCAGCTTCGTTTTCACTGAAAGGCGGCCTTGGAGGCGGAGTCTGGAGGCGGAGTCACTGGAAAAAAGGAGGCGTCACTAAACCTATTTTGCGTTATAGCGCCCCTCCCTTACACTTTTTTGCTGCGAAACCGGTACAGGGTTGTTCGTAGTGGACCACACTATCATCTCAACGCCATATTTTCAACTTCTATACCTGATCGCAGGACCGTGCCTTTGGATAGCACAGCCTCCGCAGTCGCCCACGCGATCACCGAAACATTTGAGAGATTATAGCCACAGTTTGTCGTGGAAAGAGCCTTTAAGTCATCTAGACAACTTCTTGTTAGGGAAATATCCCGTTGTGCGCTTGGTTTTTGGTTGAAAACAAAGAGGAGAATAAATAGAAAAGTGATATTTTAGCTTAGGGATGAGTAAATCCCTCCTTCACCAATGACCCGCTCCCAGTGCCCCGGGGCCTTTGGACCTCTGGTACCTTCGATTTTTCAATAAGTGTGGGTAAATTGCTGTTGTTGCCAATTTCGGCAAATGACAAAACATTGTAGCGTCTGCCGTTGGAGAGTACTCTCAACTGAATAGACAGTTTGGCCTTTATGACGGTCCGCGAATGGGCGATTTTGAACCAGGTCTCAATATTGTTTGTGTCCAGCACTGATCTACAATACAGTTACTCGGGGTCTGGTACTATGACGAGCAACGGTGGCCTTCTTGTAGTTGTGTAGTACCATCCATTTGTCGATCTGAATCCGAGGAACAGGCAATATTGCCACCAGACGTGACGGTCGTTTTGTTCTCTGTATAGAGCCGCTTGAAAGCCACAGTGTGGGAATCCTTTGCTATGATGATCATCCACTTGCGCCCACGTAACTCTTCATGGTAGAACTCGGGCGGCTTCTCATCTGCATTCATACAAAATTGACGATTGTGAGTTTCGCGCCACCCTCTTGACCATCCTCCGTTTATCGGACATAACTCGGGCAGCAGTTGCAGCTGGGATGTCAGACTCGCGGGGAAGCTCGACAAGGGTCCAGGCTCTGTGATCAGATATTCAGTGCCTGACTTCATCCACCCTTTTTTCTTGTGCAGGATGAATATTATGGGACCATTATTTATTTATTTATTTATCATGCACACACGGGTGTGAATATTATGGGACCATCCACGACAACAAATTTTTTCCTTTCTTCCTTGTACGGGCTCCTGAACCAAATCTTCCACCGTGTATTTCGAGAACACCCTTACACACAACTATGGTCCGGCGCAGGTCAAATTTGAGCAGCGCACTTTCCTTTTATGACGTCTGATTTGAAAAACCGCGCCGATTTTCACCACTCGGGCTTCTTTTCAATTTCTCGAGAACTTCTTCTGGGGCTAGGTTCGCCAAATTTCACAGATACACAGCTTAAGGTACTAGCTTCCAAATGGTATAGTAGCCCGCTGCTCTATCCCTTTGCTTTTCTGCCATTCCTCTATATGTAGCACCTTTCGAATGGTGCCCTATATAGAAAAAAAAACCATTGAATTCGTCCACCTTTTCCTCGACTCGGCAAAACGAACTCTACAACTGAGTCCTAATTGCACACGTAAAAAAGGGCAGAAATTAAGCCAGTTTCTCCTAGTAGCCACTCGGAGCGGTCCGAGCAACAGACCGTTCGGCACGCTCTTGACGGATGATACGACGATCGCGGGCGACGCCACGGTGTTTGGAAAAGACCGTGCAAAAAAAAATGTATGCTGTCATACGTTGCCAACTGCTCCGGAATACGGCTGTTTTGCATGCTGCACATGCTCACATACACGTACATACAATCATGTTCGCTGCAGACACTAAGACGTTTCAGGAGGCTTGCGGCAACTTTGCACCAATTGTCCTGTCAGCTTCACGTTACTATTTCTTTCAATATATCACTTAGGCACACTTTGACGGCCGGGAGAGCAGGGAGGGAATTTTGCACATCCGCTGCTCCACTAGTTCTGATTTACAAGTCTCACTCTGGTGAAACCTGTGAGCTCTCGTGAATCTGGAGCAAACTCGTCTAGCCCACTAAGGTAGAACCTGCCGACTCTTGTAAGCTCATGGAGTGGCCTCTGGGTGGGTTGACACGTCGATGGGATGAGACCGTAGTCGAACTGCCCCCATACACTCATTTACTATGAATCCACCAAATGGAACAATAAGCTTTTCCTCCCTCGCCCCCCCCCTCCATTCCCTCTTTTGCGAAACCTATTCCTTTCATCCAGAAGTCGCCGGTAGACAGTGATCCGAAAGCACTGGCTGCCATTTCGTGGTCACCAACGATTTTCTTTCTCTTTCTCGCGAATGGTGCCTTCGATCGAAGCAGCTCAAAAAAGTCTGTTGCACACAGTTGCGAAAAGCGCAGCTTCAGGTATACACGTGGCTTTGCGGTCTCTCTGTCTATCATCCCAGCTGGAAAATGTGGGCTCGCGTTGCCGGTTATCTCGGAAATGTGGAATCGCGATGTCGCGCAGCACGTAGAATTTTGTAGTCTTCAACCCTTTCTGTACAGGCTTTGGCCAAGGTTTGATCGATTGAATATGACAATGATGAATCGATCCTTATACATTCCATCAAACTCTGGAATGTCCTAGTTGGTTGTTACCTCCTTCAGCGAAGTGATTCAAACTTTCCTCAGATGTCGAACGGCAAGGCAGAAATTTCCTACAGATCTGGTACTGCTGATGCGTATAACGAGCCCTTACTTACCCTGTACTCTCCCCTGTACTCCTAAGATCCAGTAGAAGAACACAGTGGTACGATGTTGATGCACTATATTGGACTGCCTTTATATTTTCGAAAATGTCTTGGAAGGGTTATAATACTTGTCAGGGCATTTGGTTTTTTAACACAAAACTTCCCATAATGCGAAGTTTCTGCTGAAGGACTTTCCTGACTACTAACGAGCCCCGTTGTCTGATATGAACCCGTTACTGTTCGTGCTATTTATTGGGAGCCTTCTGCCTCATCGTCAGCAAAATGCCATTTTCTCACATTATTCCGTTCCTGGCTATACCTACGACACCACACCCTCAGCCGCTGTGGCTAAGGTACTTACTGAGTATTAACAAAATCTTGAAACCGCTCCTGCGTTATCAGTCTGATTGCTGTTACAGTATGCTCCCCGTTAAAACACTGATTCTCTATATATAAAGCGGGAACGTCTGTCTGTCTGCCTGTTTTGTCTGTCTGCTCCGGAAATTTCGGGACACTACCTAAAAGCCGTGTCAGGGGCGGCGTCCAACGGTCTGGATGATCAGGCATGGGGCCAAGATGTACGAAAACACACGTGAACTAGGCTAAGCCCCGCCCACTGTGGGCGGCGCGTGCGCATAGTTGTGAGCTTCATATTTCAAAAATTCGTAGTTCGGTTCCAAAAAAGCCCCGAGAGCGGAAAAAGTGGCAAACGATAGGCAATCAGTTCGCGGACGAAATGACTGAAACAAACCCATTCTGTGCAGGGCGTTCTGTAGGTAAGCGGTGCCTGCTACGAAACTTTCAAAAATTCGTAGTTGGGTTCCAAAAAAAGCTCGCGGAGAAGTGGAGAAATGTGCAACGACAGGCAATCAGTTTGGCGGACGAAATCTAATGACGCATAAACACAACCTGATGGGCGGAGCGTTCGCCGAAGTGGACGATGCCGAGGACGAAAACCCTCGAAACGCATCCGAAAAACCCCACGAAATGGGGAGTGAGCTGAAACTAAGCAATGGTATGGCAGATGAACATAGTGAGGGGATAATCGTAGGGAGTATACCAAATGGTTGGTACCGTCGGCAATAGTTTGCAGTGCCGCATAGAAAATTTTGATGGCTGTCTACTAGGGGGGTATATACTAGAAGTGAAACGGTAAAGTGCGGTAATTCTCAAAATAATATTTCTTTCGACCATTCGGCCGGCGAAGCCGGCCGATCCGGGACTGCTTATCATATAAGTCCTACGACGCCACACCTTCGTTCCGCCTGCACACATGTGGCCAGCGTTCAATGACACCACGTGTGCGAGGACATTATAGCCATGTTGGCTGTCAAACAGGCGTTCTGGTATAAATAAAAACATCAACCATTTGCTCAGTTATTGAACATCTCACAAATTCTGTATGAATTATCCATTTTTGTTGGTATATTTGTGGATTTGCGACGATTAATTTGCCGTATTTTTCCTGTGCTGTTTTCTTTTCTTAACTTTTCTTCACGCAGATGAGGCCGTAATATTTATTTGGTAGCGTGCGAACAAAATAGTGGGAATCCATATCAACTGCGCGAATGTAAATACATTTATCCTGATGGTGGGCGGCTGTTGTTGGCCCGGTTTTACGTGTGGCTCCTGATTGTCTCCAGGTCGAGGAGTCGGTGGCATACCAGCTCCACTGTTTTGCATATTTCCACTATTTCCGCCACGAGGCATCGCACCCACTGGGGCGCTCTCCCCACCCGGTGGAGGAGGCTGAAAGCATATTCGAAATTAGCATGGCGCGGATACAGAAAAGTAAAAATCTTACACGATGAGAATTCGCTTCCGTCGTGACGAGTAGAACAACTGCTATTACCACGAGGGCAATCATTTCGGTCCGAAAAGTCGTAGCGATTAGTCGTCATAAAAAATTCATTCAGGGAATTAAGACGTCAGGAAAAACATTCTTCAAATTAAGAAGCGCTATCAAGTTGGGTAAAACGTCGGAAATGCCCCTTCTACTGAATTTCAGAAGAATTAACTCCAATTTATGGAAATTCATATGTCTGATGTCTGTTCGCGTGTTTCTACCTGGTTTCCTGCCTCTACTGCCGAGGGGACGAGTAAAAGCAGGAAAAAATGTCGCTAAGCCATGGATTCCTACCAGATTGATCTGTCTTTGCGTCCGATGTAGTCTCTCCTCCATTGTTGCTGTATGGATGTGTAGCGGGTAGGGCATAAAAGCAATTGAAAGTAACAACTCGTACTGACAGCTTCGATGACCACAAACTCTTCTGTGTGGGTTGAATTAGTTTAAACTTCTTCTATCGTTTCTATTAACAACGAAAGTGCGGCGTCTACCCAAGAGGAACACGACCATATTGCGGCTCATTTACAATTTATCGCTCCAAACAGAAAACGTGAACTCCGAAATTCTGATCATTTTCAGTCTCCACTAGGAAAGATAAGCTAAGAAAATGTTACTTTGCCAGAAAGCAACTGCTGAGAGGGAGGAAAATTCGGAAGTCGGGTAAAAAACACAGAGTAACGGGTGAAATCAGTTGTAACTGCTATTTATACGTTGTGGTAATGATGTTTTTTAACAGTTGTACGGTGGATACAAAAGTCCTTGTTGTCAGCGAGGTGAGAGAGATTCATGTCCAAATCTCCGGCTTAACCTCGTTACTGGTTATTAGTTGCGATTGAGTCAGCCGAAAAATATCGTCATCCACTCAACAATAGCCAGAACTCCGAGATTCTAACATCTCTCACATCTGAACGGCGGAACTCTCGCAGTCGAATGCTCGGTGGGATATACGGTCGCGGAAAAAAACTGGGAATAAGCCCAAGTCGCGCGCATTTCAGTAGCTTCACCTAAAAGTTTTGATTCGTTGCATTGACAGAATATCGAAGATTACGGCGATAAGGCACTTTGAGGAATGGGGGGAGAGACTGCGGGGGGGGATAGGGGTGAGGAGGGAGGTCAGGGCTGCCAATATGGAGCGACGTTTATTTTCTTATTGTTAGATGAGTCTACTACTAATTGCTTTCCTCCCAGGACGAAAAACTGTTGTTTTAGCGGGAGCGGATCTGGGCTTCTGAACGCCCAGGCTACGCTTGGAGTTAGTAGCCGCTAAAAGCCACCTATACTATCTCCGGACCAAAATTTCAATATTATTGATGTTGTAACATTGTATTCTTAGCTTCTGACTCTGATACTGGTGTATAAGAAGAGATTAGGCAACTTAGAACAGATGAGAATGTCTTTTCAAAGCCTGTTCTAAGTTTTTTTTCCGCGACGCGACTGTATATTGGGTGGGATATTTCACTTTTGTCGGTAATCAAGAACCCATCCTTATTAGAGTGCTCCCATATTTGTAGAGTGGTCCTTCGAATGCCCCTAAGATTATTGGCAATTTCTTGATTATGATTTCTTTCAACATAATGTGCATCACTCGTCGCGGATAAAAACGTGAGTTCCTTGACGCTGGTGACATCACGACTCGTGGTTATAAAGCAGTAGCGACTACTTTGTTGTCCTAACACAGTATGAATCCAATGAAGACGTTGAGGAGTTACTGCCCAGTTTGCTGAGATCCCAACCATTTTCGGCCGCCAATGGCTCAAAGTCCCAAAAGGTAGGGTTTGTGGCAAGAGAATCGTAATTCGCCGCGCCAGTAGGCGTCGCGTGCGACGTCGTCGCGCCCGCAGGATTCTAGGGGGTAAGGGCGAGAATAGACAGTGTATGACCAAAAATATGCATAAGTGTCCTACAATGTTCTTGTCTACATGAAACCCGATACTCCATTCGAAAGGGCACTGCAAATTAAGGAGACGTCGCGCCCATTGCCGTGCTCGAATAAGCTGCTGTTTACGATTGTCTTGCCTGTCTCCCTCCATAGATATACCCAGCAGTTTTTCCACATTTCTTATGTGGGTGCGTCCGCAAAATTCATGATATAAGAAACGTTCCAGAAGGTGAAAGCCTTTTTGGGCCCCAACCCCCTCCCCCCCCCCCCCCCCGCCCTTTCAGCGCGCCACCGTCCAAGGACGTCCCCTTTTCTTTAGAGGCAGTTGAGCAACGATGTTTCCTACTTCGCCCAAAATGCTAGTAGGGAGCTATATAGTGGGGAAATGGCGAAAGAACGGAGTGAAACGGTCAAAATCCGGCGAAGAAAAAGCCTTCGTTCTCAGTGACTTGTAAATCGATTTCGGACGAGTTTCCCGTACGCATCTTGCCAATCACCGCTACCGAGATACGGCTGCATATTTGTACCCATATATGCATGCAGCATCACCGCCGCTTCATACCAATCCCTTTGCTTCATAATTTGCTCAGCAAATGAATGAATACGAGCGTCAGAAACGGTCGTCCGTTTGGGCGGGCGGCAAGGAAGGCGTTTGGGACGTAAAGTTGTTGCTCAATAGGGCGTTATAGAGGTACCCTCCTTGGAAAAGGCTTCACGCAGCGCCTGTCCGAGGTCACGGAATTCTGTTAAGCCAGTTGTACAAATCCTACACCTGTATAGCGATTTATCGTGCCAACTGCCTTTAACTCCACAAAGATACCGTGCAAAGCTTTCACCTTCTGGAACTTTCCTTACATCATGAATTTTGGGGGTGGGGTCGTTCATTTAGAAGTGGGAAGAGAGGCGATACTTACTTTAGATGATGTACAGTGATCGAACGATAAAACTATTATATTCGTGGTTCTTGTTGTAAAGA